TTTTGCAGAATTTTAAATCAAAGGAGAATTTAAATTTGAGAAACCTCACTAGAAACAGTAAAACAGAAAATAGGAGTTTCTACAAGTGTTCAGAAATAAAGAGCTTCTCTTGGTGGAGGGATCAATGATCGGGGTGGGGGGGGGGGGGGGCATTTATACTTTTTTTTTCTATTCAATTGTGGGATGTGGGCATTGCTGGCTGGCCAGCATTTTTTGCCTATCCCTTGTTGCCTTTGAGAAGGTGGTAGTGAGCTGCCTTCTTGAACCACTGCAGTCCTCCTGCTGTGTGATGACCCACAATGCCATTAGGGAGGGAATTCCAGGATTTTGACCCAGTGACAGGGAAGGAACGGTGATAAAATTCCACGTCAAGATAGTGAGTGGCTTGGGGGGGGGGATCTTGAAGGTGTTGGTGTTCCCATATGTCTGCTGCTCTTCTCCTTCTAGATGGAAGTGGTCGTGGATTTAGAAGGTGCTGTCTGAGAATCTTTGAATTTCTGCAGTGCATCTTGTAGATAGTTTACACTGCTGCTACTGAGTGTCAGTGGACACTTGTGGTGCCAATCAAGTGGGCTGCTTTGTCCTGGGTAGTGTCCAGCTTCTTGAGTGTTGTTGGGGCTGCACCCATCCAGGCAAGTGGGGAGTATTCCATCACACTCCTGACTTGTGCCTGGTAGATGGTGCTTAGGCTTTGAGGAATCAGGAGGTGAGTTACTTGCTGCAGTATTTCCAGCTTCTGACCTGCTCTTGTAGCCACTGTGTTTATGAGGTGAGTCCAGTTGAGTTTCTGGTCAATGATAACATCCAGGGTGTTGATAGTGGGGGATTCAGCGATTGAATGTCAAGGGGCAGTGGTTAGATTGTCTCTTATTGGTGATGGTCATAACCTGGCATTTGTGTGGCGTGAATGTCACTTGTCAGCCTAAGCCTGGATATTGTCCAGATTTTGTTGCATTTGCACACAGACTGCTTCAGTATCTGAGGAGTTGCGAACGGTGCTGAACATTGTGCAATCATTGATGGACATCCCCACTTCTGACCTTATGATAGAGGAAAGGTCATTGATGAAGCAACTGAAGATGGTTGGGCTGTGGACACTACCCTGAGGAACTCCTGCAGAGATGTCCTGGAGCTGACATGATTGACCTCCAACAACCACGACCATCTTCCTTCATGTCAGGTATGACGCCAACCACTGGAGTTTGTCCCTGATACCCATTGATTCCAGTTTCGCTGGGGCTCCTTGATGCCAACAGTCGGTCAAATGCAGCCTTTACGTCAAGGGCTATCACTATCACCTCACCTCTGGAATTCAGCTCTTTATTCCATGTCTGAACCAAGGCTGTAATGAGGTCAGGAGCGGAGTGGCCCGAATGGAACCCAAACTAGGCGTTGCTGAGGAGGTGCTGCTTTATAGCACTGTTGATGACTCCTTCCGTCACTTTATTGATGATTGACAGTAGACTGGGAAGGAAATTGGCTCGGTCGGATTTGCCCTGCTTTTTGTGTACAGGATATACTTGGGCAATTTTCTAAAATGCCAAGTAGATACCAGTGTTGTAACTGTACTGGAACAGCTTGACCAGGGATGCAGCAAGTTCTGGAGCACAAGTCTTCAGTACTATTGCCGGAATGTTGTCAGGGCCGGTAGCCTTTGCAGTATCCAGTGTCTCCAACCATTTCTTGATATCACATGGAGTGAATCAATTTGGCTGAAGACTATATCTGTAACGATGGGGACCACTGGAGGAGGCTGAGATGGATTATCCACTCGGCACTTCTGGCTGAAGATTGCTGTGAAAGCTTCAGCCTTATCTTTTGCACTGATGTGCTGGGCTCTTCCATCATTGAGGATGGGGATATTTGTGGAGCAGCCTCCCCCAGTGAGTAGTTTAATTGTCCACCACCGTTCATGACTGGATGTGGCAAGACTGCAGAGCGTAGATCTGATCCGTTGGTTGTGGGATCACTTAGCTCTGTCTATCACTTGCTTTTGCTGTTTGGCATGCAAATAATCCTGTTTGGTGGTTTCACCAGGTTGACACCTCATCTTCAGATATGCCTGGTGCTACTCCTGGCCTGCCCTCGTGCACTCTTCACTGAACCGGGGTTGATTCCCTGGCTTGATGGTAATGGTTGAGTGGGGGTTATGGCGGGTCATGAGGTTACAGATTGTGCTGGAGTACAATTCTGCTGCTGTTGATGGTCCACACCGCCTCATGGATGCCCAGTCATGAGTTGCTAGATCAGTGTGAAGGCGGGACTTTGCCTCCACAAGGACTGTGCGATGGTAATTCTTAGTGATACTGTCATGGACAGATGCAACTGCAGCTGGCATATTCGTAAGGATGAGGACAAGTATGTTTTTCCCTCTTGTTGGTTCCCTCACCACCTGCCACAGATCCAGTCTAGCAGTTATATCCTTTAGGACCCGAACAGCTCGATCAATAGTACTGCTGACAAGTCACTCTTGGTCATGGACGTTGAAATCCCCCACCTAGAGTACATTTTGTGCCCTTTCCATCCTCGGTGCTTCCTCCAAGTGTCGTTCAATGTGGTGGAGTTCTGATTCATCAGCTGAGGGAGGACGGTATGTGGTAATCAGCAGGAGGTTTTGTTGCCCATGTATAACCTGAAGCCATGAGACTTCATGGGATCTGGAGTCACCACCTCTGCTGGGTCTGTCCTACTGATGGTACAGGACATATCCAGGGATGGTGATGATGTTGTCTGGGATGTTGTCTGTAAGCTTTGATTCTGTGAGTATGACTGTATTAGGCTGTTGCTTGAGTAGTCTGTGAGACAGCTGTCCCAATTTTGGCACTACCTCCCAGATATTAGTGAGTACAACTTTACGAGGTCTACAGGGCTGTTTCCGCTGTTGTCTTTTCCAGTGCCTAGGTCGATGCCAGGTGATCAGTATAGTTTCAATATTACGTACAGGGCAGGGGATTTAGAGAATGTGAGGAAAGAATTTGTCATCCAGAGAGTGGTGAGAATTGGGAACTCATTGTCTGCAAGGTGGTAGAGGCAAAAGCCCTCGTAATATTTAGGAAGTATTTAGATTTGCATTTGTGATGCTAAGGCCAAGTGCTGGAAAATGGGATTTGAATAGTTTAGTGGTAGTTTTTGACCGGCACAGACTCGATGGGTTGAAGGATCTTTTTCTGTACTGTTGATCTCTATAACTGAGAAATTGAAATGAGCATTAGTCCTCCGATTGTGAGCAGTTAAGGGAATAGTGGACAACTTGAGCAGACATTTTGTGTCTGTGATCACTACAAGAGACTCTAATAACATCCCAGGAATACTTTTAGATCAAGAAGTAAAATGGAAGAACTCCAAACAAATGCAATTACCAGGGGAAAGGCACTGAGAAACGATTAGATGTCTGACAGGGTCCCGGGACCTATTGGCCTGCATCGTGTGTTCTTAAAAGTGGCTGTGGAGGTGGTTGATACATTGGATGTGCTTTTCAAAAATAATCTAGATCCTATCAAATTGGAAAGTAACACATGTAACTCTTTTATTCAAGAAGGGAAGGAGGCAGAAAGCAGGAAACTAAGCTAGGTGGCCTAATTTGTTACGGGTAAATTGCTAGAATCTATTACTAAACAGGTGATAACAGAGTACTTCGCAGACTCTGCCCAATGGTATTAATGTTTCAAAGTTTTATGAAAGGCAATTAATGTTTGACTTATTGAGTTATTTGAACAAGTATCTAGCAAGGTAGATAAAGGGGAGCCTGCTGATGGTGTACTTTGATTTCCAAAAAGTATAAGATAGAAGCTTGTAAAGTATAACATATTCATGGATAGAGGAGTGGTTAGTCATAGGAAACAGAGTAGGCAAGTGTGAATGACGTGGACAAAGAGGCCTAATGTTTGGTAGCTAAATTCGCTGATGACACTGAGAGACTAAGTTGTGAAGAGAGTTAGGGAGTCTGTGCAAGATTTTAAACAGGTTAAGTGAGCGTAAAAAATTATTGGCAAATGGTAAATTTGGGAAAATATGAACTCCTCCATTTTGACAGGAAGAATGGAAGAGCAGTACAGGCTGTTCCCAGGTTGCGAACAGGTCCCATACTGGAGTCTGTTTACAAGTTGATCTGTGCACATGAGAACACAGCACAGAACAATGGAAAGCAGCTGTTTGTAAGTAGGGGAATTGTTGATATGTTGGGTCTATAAAATTTTAACCATATAGGATCACGTTTGTTAGTACAAACATTTGTAATTCGGACATCCATAAATTGGGATCCTTTATACGTTACTTAAATGGAGAGAGATTACGGAACTCGGATTGTAGAAGTACTTAGGGACATGTTTACATGAATCGCAAAGCTAGTATGCAGGCACAGCAAGTGATTAGGGTGGCAATGGAATGTTAATGTTCATTGTAAGTTCAATGGGGAATATATCTGTTGTGAGGAATTTATTGCTGCAGGGCCTAACTGAAACCACATCTGGAGTACTATCTAGTTTCTGTTGCCCTATTTAAGAGAAATTTATTGCTGCATTTATAAGCTGTTCAGAGAAGATTTACTTCACTTCACTGATTCCCATGGTGAAGGGGGAATCTTGTGAGGAAAATTGGACAGATTGGGCCTATATCCTTTGGACTTTAGAAAAGTGAGAAGTGGTCTTACTGAAACAGATAAAACCCTGAGGGGATGTGACAGGAAAATAGCAAGGCTGCAATCAGATCAGCTATGATCTTACACAATTGGTGGAATAGTTTAAAAAAAACTCACCTAAAAATAGAACGTAAGACTCACAAGCTATTTGCTTTTTCTGTTGGCTTAATCCAGTCCCAAACTTTTTACAACAGGAAACTCACCAGTAGTACATCAGTCAGTCACCACCTGGTTTTCCTGTATCGCTGATTTGATTTTTCTTTTCAGACTTGGGTGCCCTACATATACCTGCTATTGCATCGGGTGAGTGTTAACACCTAAATCTACACTTCGATATTCATGTTTCTGTTTTAAACCCTTCCAGGCCAGTGCATATATTGAGTCATCTGCAGTCAGCCCTGTGTTCTCCATGGAAACAGAGACTCCCACTACTGAGGACATCCAGCTGCTAAAGAAAGCGGTGGAGACTGAGGCCGTTCAGGTAATGTCACAGCTTCAACAATCTAGAAAATAACGTGATAAGGAGGTGATGACATCAAGGTAATCCACAGCCCAAGAATAATGTTCTGGAGGGATGAGTTTGGTTCCCACCATAGTAGCTGCTGAGATTTGAAATCCATAAAATCTGAAATAAAAAGCTAGCTTGATGGTGAACATGCAACCACTGTTATAAAAACCCATTTGGTTCATCTAATCCTAGCCCGAAATGTGACTCCAGAGCCACGTGAACAAGAAATGCTCACAGAGCCAGTGATGCGCACATCCCATGAGCAAATTAAAATTTTAAAAATCGCTTGCATCCACTAGTTGTCTTTGTTTGTATACACCACTCTACGACAGGGAAGGTCACATATTTGTGATCACTGGTCTGTGTTTAATTAGCTGGAGGAAGAAGGGATCACACATCATTCCAGTTATTGATGCTTGGTGAGGCTTTTGATGTTTGTTCAACACCTCAACAGGCTGCCAGTGCTCTTTGAAGAGACCAAATGGAGGTAGTTGGGATCAGCCTGTATTTCTGGAGTTGAACTTCAGAGAAGCTAGTGCCCCTGATGACTGGGAGAACTGTGTCCTCTTTATTTCTGTATTGCCTATCAAGACATATGCTGCATGAACAGTGTAAATGTGCAATACCATTTAATTATTCTAAATTATTTTGATCAGTCATTAGATCTCCAAGTTTTGGGCATGCTCCATGTTAAAGTTTTTATACTCCTGTATTGGATGTGGATATTGCAGGCAAGGCCAGCATTTGTTACCCCTGAATTACTGAACATACTCTGCCATATCCAAAACCAGTTAAGAGTCCTTCAAGGCCATTAGGGAACCAAGTTTTTTTTTTTTTAATCACAATTGACAATGGTTATCACAAGACTAGTTTTATTAATTCTAGATTTGTTAATTGAACATTGCCCTCGTGGGTTCAAGCCCATATCCCCCGAGCATTAACCTGGGGATTCTGGATTACTAATCCAGTGACATGACCGCTATGTCAACACCTCCCCAAAGAGGAGTTCTTGTCCTTTGATTAACACTGAAGTTTGACTCACTTTGCTGGAATGTTAGCATACCCTGTACCATCTGGTCCTGGTCAGTGTTGATGAAACTGCTGTTTCTCTAGGTGAAAGAGAAGATTAAAAAAGAGAAGGCTTTGCTACGCCGGAAGTCAGACCTGCCTCAGGATGTGTACACTATAAAGGCCCTTGAAGCACACAAGCGGCCAGAGGAATACCTCAGCTCGAACCAGGAGGCTCTCTGACGGGCAGTGCCTGCCCCACCCCTGGCCTCAGTACCAGGATGTTTGCAGAGACACACTCTGTCAGTGTAAAGCATAGAATGAACTGTTGATCAGTGTTTATGTAAAGCTGCATCCATTCTTTTGTTACCTGCTTCTTTTACATTTTCCCCATTTGCTGTTGTTTCTCCTGCACCCCTCCACAGCCCAGTCTGTTCCAGTCTGTCAGTTGGATGGGTTTGTATTTCATTGTCATGCAAGAAAATCACATGGACAATAGCAAACATAAGGTGCCCAGAGTCAGCAAGAAAGCAAACAGCTACAAGAGCCCAGAGATGTAGTCTGCACTGTCCCGTCAGTTTGTCTCCAGCCTAAAGGTGGTCTCGTTGTCCCCTCAGTTTGTGTCTAGCCTGAAGGTGGTGTGTACTGTCCCAAGACGACTTCTAACCTACGGCCGGTGTGCACAGCCCCCTGTGGCTCTGTCTGATCTACGGCCGGTGTGCACAGCCCCCTGTGGCCCTGTCCAGCCAATGGCGAGTCTGCATTGTCTTGACTGTCCGGCCATCCACCTGACTTTATTGTGGACTGACTAGCTCATTATTGAGAAATCAATAGTTTTGTTTTGTACAAATCACTGTAAAGGTTGAAAAGTAGATTCCCAGAAATGGCATCAAGTACCTGTCAGTGCTCTGTGTTTTTATGTTTCTCTCCTTTTGACCCTTTCTCCACTAAACAGTTTGGACTGATAATGTGATGTGATTCTACAGGTGTCTGCTATCCTCTCATCATTTCGTGCAGTCAAGCTCTTTAGCCATAGGGTGTATTACTCTGTCCCTGTCCACTGCAACACTTGTCAAGACAGCAATTTGAGAAGCTTGGCTGTTATACCCCCTTCTATCCCAATAGAACTAAAGTCAATTGTACTAAACTGCAACTTTACCAGAGAGGGGCTTGAGACCAGCCTGGAAATCTCAACATCATACTAGTCAGTGCACCCTGATCAAAATGTCTAAATGGGGTGAAGTTCCATTCAGGGAAACTCTCCAGCAAATAATTTAGTCTGTTGCCCTGGAGTTTCTTTTATTGTCTTTGTGCAATCAGCAGTTATGTAATATTCATTGAACAATAGATAAATGAATATAACACTGAGACACTTCCAGGCGTGGCAGTGGTCATTCTTGAAATCTGACACTCATATTCCCCATGCAGCAGTGCTGATGATCACAGTACTGTCCCAAGCTAGCCCTGTGGCAACACCTTCAGAAAGTGAATTGCCTTTTGTTCTTTTTTAAAATGTCATGTTATTAACTGTGACCATGAGGACTGTAACCCTGATCATTTCAGGTATGATCCATTTCTCCAGCTTCTCCTAACTGCTTCCTGCCATGTTCCTTTCCCACCAATGAAAATAATGATTTGGTAGTATTTGATTTTTTTTTTCCTCTTAACAAAATCATGTCAAGTATTAAGTGGAGTGACAAAGGCTGTTTTATTAAATAATATTAATGCCATGCTGCAGCAGAGGCTGAAGACATCCAATTGTTGGACTATCAGGCTGCCACACGGTGGAGGCTTGTCCTGTCGGGATTTTGAGTTTCCACATTATAACGAGAACAATGGTCATTTATACATTAGGATGTAGAAATGTGATTTGCATAGCTAATTACTGTTTCAGACATGTGAAACCAATAAAATGGAGAGTGCATTCACCTACTGAGATTAAATGGAGTGTTGGGTTGGGGGCAAACTGGGGTCTCTCTAAACTCGGGTTTGCATTCAAGTCCCACACTCTTCCCCTCCCACACTGACACTTGCTTTCCAATAGCAATGGAAGGTGTGTGACATAGCCAATGTATCAAGGTAACAGGGTAGTGGCTGATGGTAAGCGGTAGTGGGAACCTTTTCTGGTTTCTTCCCCATCTCCTCTGTGCCCGTGACATCAGCTTTCAATCCTTTTCAGTAACTCCAACAAACTTACAGTACAAACTAATGATGTTTTACATTACATGGAACATTCAAGCCCAGTAAAATTAATAATTCTTCATGATAATACTGAAACTATGTTCTTTTGAATTTATTCAAGGATGTAATGTATAATTAGGATATAGACTAAGGTGGCAATGGCCTCCATTCTTTATGTGAGATAGCTTGCCAGACAACTATCTTTACAGTATTCAAGATTCATTAAGTTGTTTTAATACTGCAGAAAACCTCGAAACAATATTACTTTGAAAAATTTCCTTTGTTTTGATCTGAAATCCATTGTATATACTGTTGTAGGAATGTACACTGCCCCAGCTATCACTCAACATTAGTGACAACCTGGTTTCATTGGCACTTTTCTCAGAGTCGAATGTTGTGATTTTAAGAGTCTGCTTCAGTATAATTGAGGCAGAAATGTCATTGCCCGCTCATTACAGAAGTGGTGTTGAAGTGGAGAGTTAGCAGCTCAAAGAGGATCTGAGCATCCTCCAGGAAACTAGAATGCAGTTATAGCAGGTAGTATGAAAGGCAAATGGAATTTCTCCATTTATTGCTGCAGGAATATAGTATAAGTAGTATTGCTGCAATTGTTCAAGGTATTAGTGAGACTGGAGTATTGTGTACAATTTGATCCCCTTACTTGAGGAATGTAGTTGCATTGGAAACAGTTCAGAGGAGCTTCACTAGATTGATTCCAGAGGTGAGGGTTTCTAGAGTTTAGAAAGATATCTAATTGAGGTATGCTAGATGCTAAAGGGGACTGACAAAGTAGACTTTGTTTTTCCCTTGTGGGGCATTCACTCAATCTAAAATGAGAGGTCATAGCTTTCGGATAAGGGGTAGCAGATTTATAACAAAGATGAGGAGAAATTACTTCCCTCAAGGGTCGTGAATCAGTGGACTTTCCTAACCCAGAGTGGATGTTGGGACATCGCATAAATTTCAGCAGGACATGGACAGATTGTTTTAAATAGCAATGGGTTGAAAGTTTATGGAGAGCAAGCAGGAAAGTGGATTCGAGGCCAAGGTGAGATAGGCCATGATTGTATTAAATAGTAGAGCAGGCTGGATCGGTTGGATTGCCAACTCCTGCTCTTAGTTCTTATGTTCCTAAAGTTAGAGCTATAAAGACTCTGTCTGCCTGTTATAGATGGCTAAGACCATAAGACATAGTAGCAGAAGTTGGCCGTTTAGCCCATTTAGCCATTTAGATCGTGGCAGGTCTGCTAATCCTTCACTCCACTTTACTGTCTTTTCCCTATGAACCATTGATTCCCTTACTGTTTAAAAATCTGTCTGCCTCAACCATGAATATACTTAATGACTCAGCCTCAATAGCCCTCTATGCTTTAAAAAAAAATCCACGGATCCGCTACCCTCAGAGATGGAATTCCTTTTTATTTCTTATCTTAAATGTACAACTCCTTATTCTGAAATTGCGCTGTCTGATTTTGATCCTCTGGCACTAAAAGGAGCAAGGTATTTCTCTGTATCTTGGCTTACATTACTTCTCAAATCCATACAGTTAGAGAGAGGTGGAATGGTTATTTATTCACTTGCTCGATTGGAAATTAATTGGAATCACTTGGTTAGTTGTAAATTATTACGAATTTGATTAGGTGGTAATACTAGACCACAGTTGTTATAGAGGGGGGAAAGAAAACACAGGAAGAAGGAAGTATAAAAAGAGAAATGGAATGATGTATTTTGTCCTAGGGATCTGTGCTGGGGCCTCTTTTTGCTGTTTTATGTGGAAATAATTTCAAATTGAATATGCAAATGATCTCCAATATCGCTGATGACAAAATAGGGACCAGGCAAATTGTGAACAAGATTGCAGTGGGAGTAAGCTAGAAGAGTGGGCAGACATGATATGTGCAGGAAGGGGGTTGGAATACAAGAGCAGGGAAGTCTTACTGCAGTTGTACAAGGTACTGGTGAGACCACATCTGGTGTGTTGAGAGCAGTTTCGGTGATCTTATTTAATTTCATCACAGGCAGATCAGAGAAGATTCATTAGGATGACACCCCAGTATGGAGATATTGTCTTTAGATCAAAGACCAAACAGTTTGGGACTCTACTCACTGGAGTTTAGAAGAGTGATAGGTGATCTCCTTGATGTGCGTAGATTACTCAAGAGGCTTGACAGAGTAAATGCTGAGAGGTTGTTTCCCCTCAAGGGGAGAGTCTAGACCAGATGACATAGTCTCAGAATAAAGGACTGCCTATTTAAGACTGAGATGAGGAATTTCTTTTGTGAGGATTGACAGTTTTTGAAACTCCTTGCCACAGAGAGCTGTGGGAGCAGAGTTCTTATGTATATTTAAGGCTGAGATAGATACACTGTCCATCAGTAGAGGAATCGGGGTTATGGGAAAAAGGCAGAGAAGTTGACATGAGGAATGTCAGATCAGCCATGTTCCTATTGAATGGCAGAGTAGGCTCGAGGGACCAAATGGCCTACTCCTGTTTGTATTTCTGATGGTTTGATTGGTGAAGGTCATTGACCAAAATTGCACTATTAATATGGGGCGACATGAGTGGAGATGCACAGGGGTCTTTTTAAGTGGCCAAACAGAAAAGTTAATTTTTTGTTTAGAAATTTTATTGTTAAGGAAGAAAATGATCCTGAGTCGTACTAGATGTCTGTGAGGTTGTGGGGTAGCATGGTTGCTCAGTGGTTAGCACTGCTGCCTCTCATTGCCAGGGACCCAGGTTCAGTCCCAGCCTCTGGCAACTGTCTCTTGAGTTTGCACATTCTCCCCATGTCTGCGTGGGTTTCCTCCCACAGCCCAAAGATGTACAGGTTAGATGGGTTGGCCATGCTAAACTGGCCATAATGTCCAGACTAAGTGGATTAGCTGTGGGAAATGCAGGGTTATCGAAATAGTTTGGGGGATGTGGGTTTGGAGGGTCGGAGTGGACTCATTGGGCCGTATGGCCTGCTTCCACACTGTAGGGATTCTCTGATTAAAGGATGCAGCTAGAGTTTTAAATGCAGATTTGTGAACCCTGTTCTAAGGATATCGGAGTTAAAGGCTACAGTAAGGGTTTCAATGGAATGTTCCTGCCACTTTCTCATCAGGACCATTAGGAGGTAGAGGCAATGTGGTTTCCATGGCCCAAGTGGAAGAACCTCTCATCAGCTTAGTCCATTGCTCTATTCACAACACAATACACCATTCTCGAACAGAAATGGTCCCTGCAATTGTTTGAGGTTGTAGTCATCTCAATAGTGTACAAGACAGTTGCCAACACTACTGACTGAGGGAAACTAGAGGAGAAGTCGTCTTGTGGCAAAATGGTGTACCCTTATAATCCTGGGGGTATATAGAGACCATTCTGTAGCATGATGGTGTACGTTTTGCTGACCAAGGGAAAAGTTATTCTGCAACCTTATGGTTTAGCTTTACTGACCTCATTGTTCACTCCTGTCCAAAATCTGTCATGTTAAATAATTAATTGCACCAATCTATGCTTGCAATGTATTCATTTGATAATCCTTTGTAGGTTCACAGAGGTTTATGTTGCTGTGCAGAAGAGGGATTTAGAAATGAAACAACTTTGTCAAACATCATCCACCTTTTGTTATTTAGAAAGGGAATGACTATCATCAATGACCATTGCACAAACTTAAAATACCATTGTGGGGGGGAAAATCTGATGGAAACATTTTTCTGAATGCCCATACAGCTTGCACTTTGTTCCACATTTCGAGTGATATCACCTCTTCCTCTTGGGGCAGGGTAACCATTTGTGTCCCTGCATGCTTTGTAGAGCTCATTCTCTGCCCTTTCCTCTCCCTTCATTCATTGTTATCTGGCATCATCCACCACACAGCAATTGCAAAAGTCTGTTTTCATGGATAAACTGCTTTTCTATCTCAGCTCATTCCTCTCCTGAACTTGCTTGAGATCTAGTTCTCAGAATAATAGTGACCCTCAAGTACCTTACCAGTTGTCTTTTTGTTGATCATGAGCCTAGGAGACACAACTTGCATCTTGCCCCCAAATTCTCAGCATGCCTTAGCTCCAAACATGGAGCTCATTGGAAGGACTTTTGCAATGGTTCAGCTTGAATTTATGAAGTTCTGTTTTTCGGAATTTGCGTTAGTCATTGATGAGACAATAGGGTGGTCTGAAACCAAAATTTGAACTTCCTTCTTACTAGATAGGATCTACAACAATTGTTGTTTAAAAAAACTCACTCTCGTAAACTGTATTGACAAAAACAACTGCCCTAAGCCCAAAATGATCTCTTGCTGCTGCAGAATAGGTCGATGGGAACTCAGCAGAGGTTGACATTTATCTGGTTTCTAGGACTTTGAAGGTTGAGAGATCTTGGGATTGTGGAGTCTTGGTGAAGATGGATCCAGGAGCAGTGAAGTGGCTCTCACTGATGCAGATTTCTCGGAATTGGTATTTAAGATGGACAGGAGATATCTTTTAACTGAGAGAGTGAGCTTGAAACCATTGCTTCAATTCTGCTGGCAAAACTGAATAGGGTGAGGTCAGAATGTGTCTAGTTACAAGGTCTTAGCTGTTGAAAAGTTACTGCGTTCGATTCCAGCCTTGGGCAACTGTCCGTGTGGAGTTTGCACGTTCTCCCCGTGTCTGCGTGGGTTTCCTCCCCCAGTGCAAAGATGTGCAGGCTAGGTGGATTAGCCATGGGTAATGCAGGGTTACAGGGATAGGGCAGGGTGCTTTTTGGAGGGTTGGTGTGTACTCAATGGGCCAAATGGCCTGCTTCCATACTGTAAGGATTGTATGTATGAAGATACTCTCCCAAGGAAACTCTGAGTAATGAGCCTGCAGTAAGTGTAGGCCTATAATTACACTACGAAGGAAAGTTAGCAAGTTACAATTGTTTTAAAAGAACAAAAATGTATGCACAACATTGAGGCTGTAGCTATGGATTTCAATGTGGAATAGTTTGGGAAGCATCTCAGAAATGAAGTTTTAAAATTAAGATTTTGGATATTTTTAGTTTTCTACCCTGATCAAATCTGAATTTACTCAATAAACCAGGCCTACATCAAACCTAAACCCCTACATCCCAACAAGATCTTCAAACTGGGTGCTCTGGTATAAGGCAAGAGTTTCTGCACTATTTTACAAAACTAAATCCATTTGGGAGTGATGTAAATTGTAAATATTCCAACCTCCAATTTCACACTTATCCAGTTTTGGGGAGAGGAACTATTTGTGTCTAATTGTGAAAAGGGAGTGGCCATAACTAGAGGTTATCAGTCTCTCACTCCACCTTGATGTATTGTTACGCTTGGCTTGTCTTAAGTACAATGGAAAATTAAGCAATATGTTATCAAGTATCACTTGGCGTATACATAATGTCAATGAATCCTTACTAGAACTGTAATTTTTAGAAGAATGTTCAGGCTTATTCAGGGAGCTTGTATTCAATGTTGCACATACTCATGTACTGTATGCTATTGTATCAATTAGGGTTGTTAAAGAGAACATCACTTGCCTCCGTCTCCTTACCCTACCACCAAATACAAATGTAAATCCTGTAAAAATTCAGCTTTTTTTCCTTTCTGTGCAATGTATATTTGCTAATTCCATCTGATCCTTGATCATTCCAGGCTCGGGAGGATGGAGTCATCATGGGTCCAATTACACAGGGGTATTGTCTTTGAGGATGTGGGTGCATTAGACTACACTACATGCTGGTTTCAGGCCTTTAGGTATCTTTGTCTCCACATGGTTTCCATTTAGACATTTAGTGTTGCACGTTGAAATAATTTTTTGATCTTAATCCTGTTCAGGAGGCTGAAGATGGGGACAAATCCTTTGTTGTATTCTTGAGATGACCTGTTGATGAGATGTATGCAAGAGAAAAAGCCATCTGGACCTTTTTGTAGATAAAAACTCCGTTATCTCAATTCCACTATCTGTCTTTACTCCTGTTATTTTCCAGAGATTTTGACTTCACCACTCTACCCAAATTTATTTCCAATATTGAGCATTTGCCATGAAGAATTGTGACACTAGCTCTAAATTTTGCCTTTGTTTTGAATTAAACCTGTGTACTCTTGTCTTCCTTTAGTTTGATAATTTTTTTAGATTTTTTTTTCCAAGCCACTTACTATCCTCTATACCTCAGTATAGCCAAGCACTTTAAAGGAAATGCATTTTAAATGTCTTTTTGTCTGTTCTGCCCAGTAGAATGTTTTGTTCCAAACCATCCTGTAATTCAAGTACTACATCAGGACCATCTGCTCCTTCAAGTATGGTGACATTGACCACTTAGCAATGAAATAGTTACCATCCTCTTGGTGCTGAGTGCCTCAGAATAGTACTGATCAATTTACAATTATTAAAGCACAGAAGAGGCCATTCAGCTAATGTTGTCTCCATCTGGCTGCGTGAATATTTCAATTGCTGCTATTCTTTAGCGGACTTGTAACCTTCCACGTTGTTCCTGTTCACACTGCAATTTATCTCCCTTTTGAATGCATTGATTGAACTTGCTTGTAACACACTTTCAGGTGGTGTGTGCCAGAGTTTATTCTATTCATGTATAAATAAGCCATTCCTCATCTCGTTTGTTGTTTTTGCTTCTTTTGCCAATGACTTTTAAACTATCTGAAACAAAATGAACAATCTGGAATTGTGGTGGGCAGAGGAGAGCAGTTTCCCTTGTTTAGTATATGCCATTGCTTGTCTTGTATCCTAAAAGGTATTTCTGGACCAGTTTTGGCAGATGCTCATAAGCCACCTTCCTGCTTTTTGTTCTGGAGTAGAATCACCTTTTACAGGTTATATACAAAGCGAGGGAGGGGAAACCTAAAAGAATACTTTGTATTTGCTGCCATCCAAGATTTTATTTGTGTGCCAGCTTGTGAATCAAGCTCAGAAACACATCCCTGTGGTTTACGATCATCATTGTTTTTTGTAGCATTCCATAAATCAATAGTTCAGGTTGTAGTGCAAATACTTTTTTGTGGTTGCTTAATAATTTCAGTTCAGTGTTGATTAATAGGCTTCTTGAAGGAAATAAAGCCTGCTTTCAAGAAGCCACGTGAGCTGGTATTCTGACATACTAGTTTGTGTTGTGTTCCACTAAAGCAGTTAACTTTTCAATTGTCTCTTCTCCACCTCAAACCACTTATATCACTCACTTGTTACAGGAGCAGTGCCACTTAGTGCACAGTACGAAAGGATGCTGCATGCATCAACAATAAATCACCAAAAGATTCTGGACTTCAGTTGGTCTTTGATAAAGCAACTATAATTTATTTAGCATGAGACTTGATTTCTGGGTTAAGGAGATCTTAAACCATTGCTTGGAAAGTGCCAGTGCACTGTCTCAACTATGGATTAGAATGAAATCAATCAGTCCATTTGCACTATGGCCTCTAAAGAGGTCTAACAGTGACACTATTAAATAACTTGCCAAGCTGGAATGTTTGAATGTTTAACATTGGACGTTATACCTGAATCATCATCATCATCTGGAAATAACTGAACAGGTATAAGTTCTGTCCTACTTAACTCTATGAACTATAAAAGATAATCAATCACTGACATCGATTATAACTGGGAACTCAGATCTGTTTCCAATTCTCGAAAGCATCCTCAAGGCTAAAAAGTCAAAAGGTTGAAAATGAATAAAGAATTTTGAGGGCCTCCCAGGGAATTGCAGTGACACGAGATCCTGCAGGTATTCTCACCCCTACTGACACTGCAGGTGGGAAATACCTGAAAATGAAATATTTCTAATTTTCTGACTGACACTATTAAGCTGGCTACAGTTAATATTTGTACATATGTTGAACTTTATTTTAGGTAGAGTATTACATAGTATTGAAATGTCATATTTTGTACAAATGTTCATGTATGTACAGAACAAAAATAAACTGGGTCTCACAAGAAATGTTATTTTGTGAATAGAGCCAGGCTGTGATTATAAGAATAGAGACTACAAACAGTCAGAAATCCTAGGTTCTTCTACAGAAAATAAATGCATACTTCACTAAAGAGAGATAAAAGTGAAAGGATTCAGATCAAGTGAATCATAAACAGGAGTGACGATTGAAGGTGAGAAAGTACAATTTGTGATTAGGGGGTTATATCCTCCACTGAGAGCACACACAACTTATTGCAGATAATGTCCAAGGATTCTTCTCTTGTTGAGGATGGCTATTACCTCACGCTTGTGATGTGAATGTTACTTGCCTTTTTTCAGGTCAAGACTGGAGATCACCCCAGCCTTGCTGCATTTGGACATAATTCCTTTGATACTGAAGCAGTCTGAATAATACAGAACACTGTACAACCATTAGCAAATATTCCTACTTCTGACCTTAAGCTAGAGGGAACGTCATTGATGACACAGCTGAAGATGTCTTGGAGCTGAGATGATTGACCAACAACCATCTTCCTTTGCCGGCTATGACTCCCATTAATATACTTCCTCCCAATTCCCACTGACTCAAGTTTTCAAGGGTTGTGATGTCATACTAGTCAAAGGCTGTCTTGATGTTGAGGACAGGCACTCTCATCTCAAACTCAAAAATTAGTCTTGAACAATGTAGTAATGAGCTCAGGAGCAAGCACTAGATTATAGCTCTACCAATGATCATCAGGAAAGGATCAAAGGGGTCATGTCAACAGCAGCAATATGTCAGGTTGCGTTTGTCTTTGTGCGCGGGACATACCCAGTCAATTTCCTACATTGACAGGTAGATATTAGTGTTGTAGATATACCGGAACAGATTGGCTAGGGCTATGGCCAGTTCTGCAGCAGCAGTCTTCAGTACCATTTCTGGAAAATTGTCCATTTCCCCTAGCCTTTGCCATATTTTTGCCTTCACGTGACCTCAAGAAATAGCTGAAGACATTAGGGGGTAAACCATCAAAAGTTCCTGCACCATCCAAACTCAAAATGGAAGACCATGTTTATCTAACCTGCTTTCCCATCCAGAAAAGTGTCCTACCTTGGCAGATGACGATAACATGCCTATATTGTCAAATAAAACTGGTCATCACACCACATGCACAGTAACAACAGTTAACCAAGAGAAGTTTGTCAAAATACAGTTGTAACATTTTTGGCTTTACTGTGTAGTTAAATAGATAGGGAGCAGTTTGGCACAAACACTTAGGACTCACAGCTTGATAAATGGGCTAGCATTACAATTAAGGCTAGAACAGGTACATACGTAACTCATTAACTTTTACCCTCAAAGCTGAAATCCCAAAGTAGGACCAGAAACATCAAATCAGTCATATCAGGTACGACAGCTGAACAGGCTATCTTGGTTACCAGTTGCAAATAGTCTCAACAACATTTTATTAATAATGTAACAAATGTTTTACATTATTTGTTTACACAAGACTGCAAGGATGGTAATGCTGGAAAGATACACATGGGCTTGATACAGAGTAAGGCTCCTATTTTACACTGAAGCAAAACTTCCACTACATGTCCCCATCAAACACTCCTAGGACAGGTGTGGCAAATTTCTGGAGAAACTCAGGTCTGGCAGCATCTGTGGAAAGAAAGCAGAGTTAAATGTTTTGGGTCCAGTGACCCCCTCTACCCCCTGCAGAATACAGAGTTCCCGAAACGTTAACTGTTTTCTTACCACAGATGCAGGAGATCAGCAGATCTGGCAGTAATTTGTGTTTTATTTTAAGTACAGCACAAGGTTAAATATTAATAAAACCACTAACTAGCAGCAGTATGACATTTACTACTTGCCAATACCAACTGTCCTATGATGTATCTCTATTTTCCACTTTTGAGATATTAATGTGCTCTCAACCCACTATGAAATGTCTGCACACTCTCCAGCCTCACTCCACATTGACATTTTCATCCCCAAAAAGATGCAGAACAGGTTTGAACTCAATTTGGAAACTGCTGACCCCTACTGAGGGCTGTGGAGTTAATGTGAACTTGCTCAAGTAAATTTAAAGGTTCAATAAACTGTTTATAGTAAAATAAAACAATTAGCAGAATAAAGAATGAAGTGGAATTAACCTACGAATAATGGAAAGTGGTGGTGGATTAGTGCAACTGGTCAACTGCAATTAGTTAAATTTTTGCTGCAGTCGGAATTTAAACCTTAGTCCTCCTGGGTTTGTCCAGTCATTGCTGACATCCATTGCTTTAATCCCAAAAAAACAGCTGGGAACAGAGCATGCCAAAGCCAAGAAAGGCACTGTTTCCAGTGTTCAATGTCACTCAGTTCATAAGAGATCCAATACATTTTCCAGTCTTTCAACATTTGTACCATATTCATGATGATACATCAGGACGACAGCAGAGTGAGTACCTTCTGGTCTCTGCTTATAGCCAGATGAGTGTTCACCATGGGATTTCCTGTCATAGACTGAGTGTAACACAGACTGAGCAATACATAAATTCAGCTCCGACACAAAAGCCTGGACGAGAGTTCTAATTACATGACCCAGTAGAAAGCTCTCAAGCTCACATCAACTACAGATCTGCTCTAGGAACAAGGAAGCAGAATGAGGGAGTCAGTGTCACATGACTTGCACACACAGTTCCTTCTAATCAGACAAGAAACAGGCTGTTGAAAGTGACCAAATGGACCATCTCAAGACATTATGGCTGTGCACAACAACAAACACAATCGATCTCCTGGAAAGGGCAGCAACCCTGCTTGGGGGTGGGGAACGAGGATTGCTGGCAGCAACCCTGCAGCAGGGGGTGGGTGGGCAGGGGTAGGATCGCCAGCAGCAAGCCTGTCAGGGGGTGGTGAGGAATATTTCCAGGTATCTGATTTGTTGCACTTCGAACAATTGCAGGTTTGTCATCATATGGATTCTGCAGAATAGAACCAGGGTCATTGCTGCCCCCCCTCCTTTACTGCCACTGTTGAGCGCCTGGTTTCTATTGTTTGTTG